CCATAACACTACCACAAATGTGAAGGCAGCCCAGCAGAAGTGTCCGAAACTTTCACAGCAATCCACTCAAACACTGGTTAGGTTTGAGGGGGACCCTTCCATAGAGTATCCCAAAAAACCTTGCAAATACCCCAAACAAGGCAACAATTAATTAGGCAAAATGAAGGTAGCCACTCTAGGGCCGCCGAGTGATAGTTACAAGGAATAGCAAACTTGACACTGTTGGGTATAAACGAAAATAGAATAGGAGCAGAACACTGAAATTACCAACCATACCAGAGAAGAAAATAAGCCTCCACTCATGTCAGTAGATCAGATACACGATAAACGTACACAGTGAAAGCCCAAGAACGCCATTATGAAATTCAAACGTAGTGATGAATGCGACACATCAGCACCTATTAAGCTTTATTGAATGTATAAATATCCAACAAACAAAGATGATGCAAGTTAACAAACTAAGATATATATGCTGTTATGCTGTGGTCCCATAAAAAACAACACACTACACCGATAACTCATGCACATCGCAGTTCAACAAAAAGAAACATCAAAAAAAACTAGATCTTAAAAACCACATCCGAAACGAAACTTGTAATACTGCCCGTCAATAACGAGATTAGCACATGGGAATTTTAACAGGCTCAGACAGCTTTCTTCCACCGAAAGGTGCGGGGATAACCAAGCTCTAGCTCGAAACAAGAACCGAATGAAAGACGAGCAATAGCTTTTCAACATTTCTACATTATGTAAAAGCAGAGTACTTATTATCCCTCATCAAAGAATTTTCTCACTGCTGCTGGCTCTGTTGATATCCACCCCTATTGAAACCTCTTCCGCGAGCGTTCGCATTGTTGTTCCCATATCCACCACGGAAATTGTTGTAGTTCCTGTTGAAATTGTTGATGTAGCGACCATCACCAGGTCCTAAAATCAAAGATTACTAGCTTGACAACGGAAATGTTGGACGACATAAATATAACGGAAAAGCTTGTTTAGCGCCAAGACTGTAGTAATTTCCCGCTCTTTTCTGGACTACTTAAATGGCGATCCACTATCAGAATTTGTCCATGATTTCGAAAGAATATCTCGCTATTTTTTAGGCACTGCACACACTGGCGCCCAGCAGAACTGCAGGATCGCGAGAACAAAATAAAGGGTACACACGCCAAGAGAGTTACATATGTATTGAACGGAAAGATAGTGACTCGTGACTCCCCTGTTGAACGGAGTCAACACGGTTGGGAGTAACATTCGGATACAGAGGAGCAGGTTGTACTAAGCTAGGGAAGAAATATAGTTGTTGTTTCTACAGCTTCTTCTCTGTATTACAAGTTTTATCATACGTTTAGATAACTGTAGCTGATATTGCTATATGATCGTGTCTGACAGGTTGATAAGTGGAACTTTTATTCCAGCGGCCAAGTCGAAACGACGGTCTCTTGAATGAATTTCTCACCTTTCACCATCATAAGAGCTCAAAACACACACACATACACACACACACACGACACCCCCTAGCTGTTAATATATTACAATGCCAAGGACAATGATTGTGCTGCGAAAAAATGATAAAACGCTTTACCTATATACTAGTCAGAAATGGGGAAAATAACGTACGCAATCATCGAAACCAACCTTGTCCTCCGCCACCGACCATGACGCGGCCCTGCAATTAGCGCAAGTAACCAGTCATGATTATCAGCAAAAGGTGGAAAGCCAATTTATGACAACTCGTCTCATCTGATGCACAGTTCCTTCACTTCTAGGCTCAAATAAAACGTGCTTATACGAGTCGTGTCAACAACAATCAGCTGAAAAACTCCAAAAGTTTATTCAAAAGACATCAATACAGACTCAAAAAGAAGTGAAATCTCAAAAGTTTTTATTATATATAATCTTAACTTGCGATAATTTCGAGTCGCCGTATGCGACCTTCAAGTCCAGGCACAGTTGTCCCGCAAATAAAATCCTAATAAATTTTATTTCCGGGACAACTGGACAACTGACGAAGGTGCTACGCCACACCGAAATATCGCAAGTTAAGATATATTATAACAAACTTTTGAGACTTTCACTGTCTTTTGAGTCTTTTGGAATAAACTTTTGGAGTTTCACATTGTTGTATATCACATCAGATAAAGAAATGAGACATCAACGGGAGCAAGCAGCCATACTTCCGCCAAAGCTGCTTATCCATTTGACTCCTTTTCTTGGTTGGATGCCTTGGTGTTCTGCGCCAAATAGTCTCACTATGGACAACGCCTAGCTTCAACGCCTCCAATGACTTTCGAAGCAAAAACATGTATATGAGCAACTAGGACCCTATGATAAAGGGGCTGTTAATCAGACGTCTATGATCACCTTCAGTACCTCTTTCAGAACATTTCAGCAAGGTCCCATAACTTTGAATCCGACATGAAAACCGAAGCTATAACCATTGAAACCAATAAATTAAAAACTTACGTCCATATCCACGATTACCGCGTCCGCGTTGACCAAATCCACGACGGTAGTTCAGTGAGCGAACAGCAGAGTGCCCAAAAGTTTCCTGGTTCGTCTCTCGCTCCTTCTTCCAATCCGGACGTCCACTCTTTCCTTCAGCTTTTTCCAAGGCCTCACAGCTAATGCGGTCAAAGAATGAGCTTTTCTTGTCGTAGTAAGTGTCCTCAGGAACTTTCTCAGCTTGCTCCTCTTCGCTTTTCTCTCCATCGACCTACAAGAACGCTCTGCATTAACTGTGAACAGAACCTGCACTGAGAAAAGAATAAGTCAAATCGCGTCCAGTCAGACATGTGAACCTTACATATCTTTTATTTCACTATCACTCTTTAGGAATGTGGTGAATTCGCGATCCGGAGAATTGGCGACGAAGGTTCAGGTGGAATTTGATTGATAACCTTGTGATCGCAGGTTTTCAGAAAACGCTAGCGAGCCCATTCTTCAGAACTTTATTTCTCACACTTCCTTTCCAAATGGGGATATTCAACAACTGCAAAGTATGACTGCAGCTTTCCCAATGATGGTGACAACTGTTCTCATCCGTCTTACTTACAATGGAACGGTATACCTGCACAAAAAAAGTTCCACTGATGGATGACCGCAACAACCCCAACAGCAGCTTAAAACCATTCATGGGACAGCTAAACACTTCAAGGGAATGAAATGTCATGGCAGGTGAACCTTTCGAAAGCAGAAAAGGGCACGGAACGTGCACGCAATGGACGTGCAGTGTGAGCACGTATTGAACCACTGTTCATGGCTGACCCGCAGAGAGAACCGCGAAGAGTAGAAGGATCGTACAAGTCACATCACAATCGTGGGACCATCCCCCGCTCCCCGATGGGGTGGAGTCGATAGGAAGCAATGCGTATATTTCCCTTTGCGCCGATTCTCCCAGTCGATGACTCTCTTTTTCCGGGTTTTTCCCTAGGGCAAACACTGTGAACAGTTCGATTCTTTTTTGTCGTATGGAATTCAAAATAAGGGCACTATTGAACTACTCCT